AGGGGTCCTTGAAAAACTTATGTGTACTTCACACCCAATTTCATCCTTACCGAGAAACTCTGCTGGTCTCAGTGAACACTGCCCCAGCCACTGTGAAGGGTGGCTTCCTTATACCACCATCTGGCCATATGTATGCACAATGTACATATACACAGTGGAGTATGATTCAGACCCTCAGAAAGATACCTTGAGTCGTTTGAAAGAAAATAGATGCACCTCAAGACTCTAATGCTAAGTGAAAAAAATCAGACACCAAAGATTAAATATCACATGGTTTCTCTTACATGAGAAATCCAAAGTATAAATAGTTCAAAGAACAAAGTAAGAGATAGAGGATAGGAACAGAGACAGAAACTTCGTGGAGAAGGGAAAGAGACCTAGGGATGGGGATAGACAGGGGAGGGGAGGGAAAGAGAAGGAAAAATGATAAAGATGGTATATGTACATCCTCCAGTTCCTCAGGATGAAGATAATCAATATGTTAAAAATGTACTAATTACTAAAGATCATAAAGGTACTTTTGGTAAATTCAAGTTCTACCATATAAATGATTTCATTATATTTTAAAATATTAAATGCTCCAAGGAACATTACAAAAATTAACCCCTCAAATCCTAATTGAACTAATAAGTATGTTCTCAAGATTTCAGGAAAAAAGATTATCATACAAATATTTTATTTCTATATAATTCAAATAAACAGTTCATAAATTCAATTAAGGAAAAAAATTACAAATATAATACTACTAGAAAGAATAAAACACTTGTTAATAAATTTACCAAAAGAAGTGGAAGACGGATAGTGAAAAATCACAAAGATTTAAAAAACTGGGTAGACAGTGCATGCTCATAGAGTGGAAACTTTATCTTTTTTTTTTTTTTTTTTTGCTTTTTTTATTTAAAGAAAAAAAAACAGTATAAAGGTACAAGTAATACAGAATTACAAAAAAAATGGTAAGAAATCATGAGTTAATAGGTTACATATTGTCATCTTAGAAATAGTTGTCCAAATTATAAAATTAAAGCATGTAAAGTGGGCATTCATACAGTGAGACTGCAGACAGTTCCATTCGATGATCCAACAAAAGCTCAGTAATATGGTTTTCCATCCTACACACTCAAACATCCATGTAGTTATATCCCTTAGACCATCTTCCTTTCCTCTCCTTTTTATAGTAACAATTACACTTTTTGGGTTTTATTACTCCCACAGTTCTTATTACTTTTTTTTTGAAGAGAATAAAACCAAACATGACTAAACAAAACAGAGTCAGTTAGAACAGAAGGATGGGCATAGTACATGATGCAAAAATAGAATACCAGGTGATCTCTTTGTACCTCTTGATATTTTTAAAAAGAGTTGCCTATATCATCAGGCATAATAGAATTGATCAAAACAGTACAGAACAAGACCAATAAAACCTACACTGGAGACCTTATGGGACTTCAAAAAAGATAATAGTAAACCATAATGGGCATCATAATAAATTTTATTGCCTTCAAAGTGGTTGCCTATACCCTCAAACTTGATACTATCAAACAAAATAGAATATAGTAAAATCAGACAGAACAAGATGGGGAGAGCAATACTGGGGCTGCATATCAGGTTAATAGGAAAACAAAAAAGTTACTATAATGTATCCCGCTATTTTTTAATTCAGTTTCCCCTTAATTGCAAAAAATAAGAAAAAAATAGATTGATTTTACAAAGGGGGGAGATTGAGATAAAAGAGGACATTGTAACAGAACAACACAGGTCAGAACCCAACAATTTAAGCATCATCCCCACTTCTTGCCTGGCCACAGCTTATGGGGCGCTTAGATCTTTGGGAGTAGAGTCCCTGTGAGCCTGACTGGGGCAAAGCTAAGTGAGCAGCTTCTTGGCCTGGTTCTTTCCAGTCCAGAAGAACAGGGTTTGAAGCCCACAAGGGCTGCAGAAGAGAAGGGGCCAACAGTACCTGGGGTGCAGGACTCCAGGAGCTGGGAGAGACCCACTGGAGCTGCCAGCCAGTGGCACCCTCTGCAGCAAGACAGCCTCTGGAGAAAAAGTGCATACAGGGAGCTACAAGGCAGGTGCCCAGGACCTGCCATGACTGTCAGGATCCCCAGGGAACCCATGGAACTTACCGGGCCAGGGAAGCGCACGGACAGGACACAAAGACACTCTGAGTCCCCAAGGTACAAGAGTCCTCCGATGACCTGAAACTTCCCAGAGGCCCTAGTGGAGTATCTGCAGGTGGGGCCCACAGGCCTCCTCTACACCCCTCACCCTTCCCTGTTGCCAGGCTGCAAGGCGACTGCCCACTCCTGGACATCTACCTCATGGTCAGGCCAGGCTGCTAGTGATGTCAGATCATCTCCAAGCCATCCCCACTGGTGAGAAGGCCAACACTGCACTGTGCCACCTCTGGACCTGACTAGCTCCCCTGGCTCCTTTCCTGGGAACCAGGTCACCTCAGCCCTGGCCCCCATCCTATCCCGAGGCCCCAAAAACGTGCAGAAATCACAGAAGTAGGGGATGGGGAGGTTGTGGTACCAAGCCACAGATAATGTTATCAGTCAGGTGACTCACTGGCCTCCTGGACACTGTCTGAGCTCCTGCAAAGTGCAGTCTCCAACTCTGAAAGGGACTCTAAACCAGGAGGTCTTGGGCAGCCCAGGCCTTGCGCTGTGTGTTATAAACTCACTCCCCGTAATCTCTATTATTTCTTTCACTATAATGACGTTGGTTTTCTTCTTTGCTCACTAGACATTTTTTTGTCCCCTTGATACATATGAGTCCTTCTGACTTCCTAGGAAGCAGAGCACACAGGACATTTTTCTCTTCCTGTTACATCCAGTCTGAGTCCACTGATCCTTTCCTCTATTGCATTTCCTGGAAGTTCTAGACGTTCTTTTCCTAATTTTTATTTTTATTAGTACATGTTTGCAGTACAAAATGATCATATTCCTCATAGGGAGTATCTGCCTGTGCAAAGCATCTCTTAATTATTGTTTCTGTGTCATGCAGCATAGGTTACAGCTTCCCAAGCTAACAGAACCCACTCTGATACCACAGTGGTGCCCCCTCCCACCTGTCAATGGAAACCCCAGGAACCATACTCATAAACCAAATTTCTGTATCCCATAAGGCTCCACGATCACCAAAATGCAAGGCAGCTCCATAAATGCCCCATCTTCCTGAAACCCACCTTGGTTAATTGTGAAGCCCCTCTGCCATCCTGGTCTTTCTTCCAACCAGGTCAAGTGGTCATGAAAGCCTGTATCAGTCCCTTGGGCACAGGGAATGGGAACCTTCTTCTGGGACATTAGTCTGCTATTAGGGAATGTCCTTTCTTCCTCAAGCAAGGAAACAATGCCACCTTTCAACTGGTGGAGGACAGCACAGTGTGGGAAGGAGCAGTGGTCCTTCTGCCAGCTCAGCCCTTCAGAGAGAGTCTCTTCCCCTCACAGATATTATTAGATGACAGATTGGTGCATTCCTTGCTCACCTCTAATCTTTCCTTATGCTTTTCCCTAACAGGCACTCACTCTCTTTTCTATGAATTCATCATCAATCCTAAGCCCCTGCCTGGAAAAGAACAGTGCCAAGTCCAAGGTCAGCTGGATATCAGAAGATTTTTCTTTCCTATGACTGTGTTAACACCAAGGCAATCCCTCCAGTGTCCTTAGAGGGCAGCTGAATAGTACCAAATCCTGGAAATACCAGTTAGTAACACTGCAGGACATGGCCATGGACCCACAAGCTCCTGAGACATCTGTGGCAGCTAGTGGATAATGTTCTTCTGGGCACCATTGGGGATCCATCTTCTCCACTCTCCTCTGCCTCCTCAGAACTGAATCACAGTCAATGAGAGGTGGCTCACTGGGACCTGTGTATGGTCCCTGGTCACCTCCCAGCACTGGAGGTTTCTGAATGGGTAAAAACAGATCATAAACCGAGAGCCAGAAACCAAGAACCTGGTATCTTCTCACCAAAATACGTGACCATTTCCCACATGGATACACAGGCTGGCATGGCAGCCTAAGAAGTTATGTCAATAGCACTGACCTGGTGATAGGATGCTGGTCTGCATGGACACTGAATGAAGAAGGAAATGTCCAAAAGAAACAGAAAACAGAAAGTGGACATTATTAGAAGCCCCCACAACTGGCATTTCCTGCTGGAGCCAAGGATTTTATAACTGAGAAATTGTTTTCTGTGCTTTTTTCTAGTGGAAATATCATTGTTTGTTGACAGGAAAGCTTAGGACTCTTCAAACACCTTGGTTTCTAAGGAGACTGTCTGTGGGGTGACAAATACTTAGGCCTTCCACAAAAAAAGAGGAAATGTCCAACCATGAAGACACTAAAACAGAAGGGCCCAAGAGGAGTGGAACAAAAGGCACGAAGCTTGTCTTGTTACACAAGTCTGATGAGTCATTTATGCTGAGCAGAAAGTGATGTTCAGCACCTACAGTTATCAGTTATTATTCAAATCAGACTCTTATTCAAATAGGGCAGTGGTAAATTAAACAGAAAAATTAGGACTTGTTCAGTATATTGATGTTCATATCAAAGACAACAACTGGTTGTCTCACAAGACAAACTAAAAACCAAATGCCTGGCATGTATGGTGCCCTGTGCCTATAATGCCAGCATTCTGGAGGCCTAGGCAGGAGAATTTCCAAGAATTCCAGCTGCAGACATCAAAACCAGCCAGGGGCTGGGGATTTAGCTCAGTGGCATAAGCGCCTGCTTTGCAAGCAGGCAGTCCTGGGTTAGATCCCGGTACCCATAAAAGGTTAAAAGACAAAAAAAAAAACAGCCCCTGAAATTCTTGGCAAGTAACTACACCCGGCCGCACAAATCTAAACCCGTCCTGCGCTGAATCCCAGGGCTTTTAAAACAGCCAGGGAGCACAACTTTCCTGTTCCGCCCACTTGTTGAGCGCAGCCGGGAGCGGGATTCCGGGGAAGCTCTTACATCAGCTGCTCCCGCGGTCTCGTGGCGCGCAGAAGGATGGTGTTTGAGGCGCTTGCAGGAGCAGCATGGAAACTGGCCCGAGGTACAGCAGGGGAGCGGGGAGAGGGCGGCGGGGAGAGGGCGGCGGGCTGGTGCTCCCCTCCGCCGCCACCGAGCCGCTGGACGTGGGCGACCGCGCCGACCTTCAGGTCCGCGCCCAGGAACACGCGGAACCGTGCGGCGCTGGGGGAGCCGGCGGAGAGGACCCGCGGAAGCCCGGAGTCCCCAACCCCGGGGTCCCCGGGTGCTCTGCAACATCACCTTCCGGGAGGCCCGGGCGGAGTATCCGCAGGTGGCCCCGGAGGTGCCAGCGCCGCTTTGAGGGCTCCACCTCGCGACCCCTCTGCCTTCCCAGTGCCCACAGGACGCGGGAACCCGGCCGCGATCCTCTGCTTCTTCCTCGCGGTCCTGGTCTTGCTGCTGCAGCTGGCAGAACCTCTCCCTGTGGCCAGTGCTGGTGAGTCCCCGCGCGCTGCGCCGCGCCGCGTCCCTGCTGGGCTCCTTTCCCGGGACCAGGTCACCTCAGCCTGGCTCCCCACCACACTCCGGGGCCGCAGGAGGGGTGGAAATCACAGAAGCTGGGGATGGAGGGGTTGCAGGGCAAAGCCTAAGAGGAGGCTGTCAGTGGGGAGTCCCGCGGGCCGCTAGCGAGAGACCTAAACTCCTGGAAAGTGCAGCCTCTATTCCGGGATGGGAAGCTAACCCAGAAGGCTTCAGGGAGCCCAGGCCACCTCCTGTCTGTGACAGACTCTCTCCATCCATAGTTCTCCACAATCTTTGCCAGCAGATCACAGGCCAGGCGCCCCACGGAATCACCAGCCCAGTCCACCACCCACTTCCCTCCTGAGTCACCCACTGCCCCAGTGACCCCTGCCCACGTGCCCAGTTCCAGGTACCTCAGGTCTCCCTCTGCCTGAGGACACAGTCCAGCAACACATCCCTTCTACCAGACAGGATCTAAAGTGTTGAGACCAGAGCAGCTCTTGTGGTTTCCCTAGGGCAGGACCACAGGGGACTACAAAATACAGAGGAGAGGAAGGCTGGGATCAGGTGGAGCCCTAACTCTGGATGGGAGGCAAGAAACTGCCCCCTCACTGTAGGAAACTTTATTTACAGGTTTAGCAACTTAATGTTACCTGACACCCCCTTGTCCTAGCAACTGGGTTTACAGATTGTCTTGGGGCTAGGTGTTTACAGGGCTGAAGCAGATTCTTTACATGGCTTAGTCCCCCAACAGCCATGCCCCAGCCAGCCCTGCATCTGTGCTCAATGTCCAGCCTTTAGGAGGACACTGGCACGGGTGTAGGCAGGTGCATCTAGAGACTGCTGCCTTTGAGCCCAGACCCCTGGCCTTCCTTTTGGGAGGAGAGCACAGGAAGAGGGTTATTAATTAGGCAGGAATCCACCACTTTTCTCTCATGTCTTTTCAGCTTCGCAGGCCACACAGCTCTCTCTGAGTGCCACCTTCAGTGTGAAGCTTCAGAGGGCAAGCCAGTGGCTGGAACCAGACTTGACCACCTCCTGGGTTTATCTTCCTGATGAATCACTTATCGCATTAATTTTCTACTCTCTTGTCATCTCTGTCTCACTATGCTGATGTTGGTTTGGGGTTTTTTTTTTTTTTTCTTTGCTCACCATTTTTTGTCTACTTGATATAAGAGTCCTCCTGACTTCCTATGAAGCAGAGTGCACAGGATATTTTTCTGGTGTTCATGTTACATCAGTCTGAGCTTACTGATCTTTTCTCTGACACATTTCCTGGATGTTCTAGTTTTCTTTTTCTAATTTTTAATTTTATTCCATTCAGCATGGGGAATAGCTGCTAGTACATAACATGTTTTATTGTTTCTGTGGCATGCAGCACAGGTTACAGCTTCCCAAGCTAACAGAAGCCTCTCTCCTACCACAGTGATGTCCCCTCCCACCAGTCAATGGAAACCCCATGAACCATAATCATAAACTGAACCTCTGTGTCACTCCTGACTCCCACTCTCACCCCAAAATTCAGTGCAGCTCCATGTAATCCCCATCTCCCTGAAGCCCACCTGGGTTGCTTCTGAAGCCCCTCTGCCCTCTGGGTCTTTCGTCCCACCAGGTCAAGTGGTCATGAATGGGAGTATCAGTCCCGTGGGCAGAGGGAATGCAAACCTTCTTCTGGGACATGCAGCTGCCACCAGGGAATGTCCTTTCCTCCACAAGCAAGGATACAATACCAGCTTTCCACTGGTGGAGGACAGCACAGTGACGGAAGGAGCAGTGGGCCTTCTGCCAGCTCAGCCCTTCAGAGAGAGTCTCTTCCCCTCAGATATTATTAGATGACAGATTGGTGCATTCCTTGCTCACCTCTAATCTTTCCTTATGCTTTTCCCTAACAGGCACTCACTCTCTTTTCTATGAATTCATCACCACTCCTAAGTCCCTGCCTGGACAGCAGCAGTGCAAAATCCAAGGTCAGCTGGATCAGAAGATCTTTCTTTCCTATGACTGTGTTGGTGCCAAGGCCAACACATCAATGGGTGTCCTTGGAGGGAAGCTGAATAGCACCAAGTCCTGGAATGACCAGTTAAAAACACTGGAGGATTTGGCCACAGAGTTTAGAAAGCTGTTGTGGGACATTAAACTAGAGGACTTTACATCCACAGGTAAGTTGGAATACTCCAAGACAATGAGAGAGGTGCTAGGGCTTTGGGGATATTTACCATATTCCTTGGGTTAAAGAAAACAACTGGAGGTTGGTCTCATCAAGGTTGGATGTGGAGGAAGAACACGGGAAGATTAGTAGATCACATGAGGTGGGTATTGGGTGGGGGCCAAGGATTTCTCAAGAAGGGAGGTTAATCTCTTTCCCTGGGGCAGATCCCCATTTCTTCATGGCCAGAATGTCCTGTCTCCAGAAAGCTGATGGAAACATCCTAGGATTCTGGGACTTTGGATGCAATGGAAAAGTTTTTCTGCATTTTCACTCAAACAATAAAACATGGGAAGACCTCCTTTCTGGATTCAGCTCCATGAAGGAGAAGTTGAAGAATGACATGGAGCTGAGGGAGATATTATACTGGACAAGGGTCGACTGTAGAAGCTGGTTTAAGGAATTCCTGGAGCATTCAGAGGAAAATCTCCAGACCACAGGTAACTGGGAAGAACAGGAGAAAGGGGTAGCTCCCTTCAGATAAGATGCTCCCGTGGACCTATGTGTGACTACCTGTATTCCTGTGCATGTACCTGTGTGTGTGTGAATTTTTCATCTAGAATGATCAGGAATGATTTCTCCCTGGGAAATGGTGCCATGTGTATTCTTCCCATCTTTTCCCTTCTCATCTCCTAACATCGCCTGCACCCTGCACATAGCTTTGATGCATTCACCATGGGTTTCTTGCTGACCTCCACACTGAGGACACCATTCTCTCTCCAGGATTCCCTTGGCATCATTCTTCTCTCATCTCACCTGGCCTCTTTCTCTTTCAAAACCACCTCACAGGTCAGCTCCTGAGACCATTCCCTACCACTCTGATCAGGGATCACTTCCACTTCTGTCACCAGCTAGGATGGGTTACATTGTGACCCTGGCTGCTTGCCTAAATATGTCACTAACCCCAACGGCCTCCTTCTCTTTCTTTACCCTCCTCAGGACCTGTCACAGTGGCTGCCACATAGCACAGGGGTAGAAGCTGTCTGCATGGCTGGGTGGGCTGAGGTAGCTGGAGCTGAGGGGGTATCTCCTCAGATGTGGGGTCCTGACAAATGCTGATTCTCTCCTGTTTCCATTCCAGCACCACCCACCACCCCAGCAGGATCTGAATCCACTTTAATGACCGCCCTGCTGAGTGGCTTGGTCCTAGTGCTAATCATCTCATGTTTTCTCGTTTATAAAGCAATTAAATTACGTTATATGAAAAAATGTTCAAGGCTGCGGTTTAGCTCAGCCGCATAAGTGTTTGCCTGGCAAGTACGAGGTCCTGAGTTTCATCTACCAGAAAAAAAAAAAAAAGAAAACATGTTTACAATCATTGGTCATTGGAGAAATTCAGTTAAAACAATCATTGAGGATCCATCTCAACCCAGAAAGAATGCCCAGGATTAAGAAACAACCAATAACAAATGCTGGAGAAGCTGTGAGGAAAAAGATTTCTTCTGTACTGCTAGTGGCAGTGTAGACTGGTACAGCCACTGTGGAAATCAGTGTAGAGATTCCTAACAAAACTGGGATTGGAAGTCCCATTTGTTCCAGCTATCCCGCTTCTGGGCATATTCCCAGAAGAACTGAAAACATCATACCACAGTGATATATGTGCACCCATGTTTATAGCAGCACAATTTGTAATAGCCACATTTTGGAAACAACCCAAATGCTCATCAACTGAGGGATGGATAAAAAGGAAGTGGTATTTTTATGTAATAGAGTACTACCCAGCTATAAAGAGGGATCACATTGAGGCTTTTATAGGCTTTTCAGATTATACTTGTTAGTAAAATAAACCAACTCACATATGTAAATTCCATGCTGTCTCCCTGATGTAAGAAAGCGAAAGAATAAATAAGATCCAAAATCTTCAATAAATATTGTGAACGGACAAGAAACTGCTCAAAGGGGAAAAATAACTGGGACAGGGAAAAGGAGGAAAGAAGGAAGGGAAAAAAATGATGTCAATTTCTATATAAGCCCTTAACATAGCTAAGATGATTGTATTATTCTATTAGTTCTAGGAACAAAACAGTTAACATTCGTAGCATTAGATCAATTTTGCATGTCTATCTCTGGGAATCTGAGTAACACTTTTGAAGACAACAGTGAAAAATAACAACCTTTGTTAAGTTCCTACCACGTATTTTGAAAGCCTATATTGTTAATGCTGGGTTTGTTATTATCATTGTTTGTCTCTTTGGTTTCTTGTTTTTCATGCATTTTATTTTATTTTTTCCTCTTTAAAATAAAAAAAAGAAATTATTTTAATTGTGTTTTCCAACCACATATTCTCTTCTGACATTTAAATAAATAAAGATCTTTATTTTGAAACAAATATCTCAATTAGTCTGGAATTGTATTTTATGATCTGTGTGCATAATTTCATGTGACTACCTGAATGCCTGATAGGTGAAAATACAGTATTTCTAGGTAAGTTTTGGAAAGTTTCCTGAAAGATCTCATTCAAATTACCAGACCGAAAGACTGCTCTCCACAGTGCAGAGAAACCAGCATGCACAGAGAAACCACAAGAAAAGTAGAGCAAAAGAGAATTCATTCTGCTTCACCACACCCATGCATTTGCATTCCTCCCCTTGACATTGCCATGGTTTGTGTCATTGCCCCCACCCCTGATCTCATGCAAGCATGGACACAGCTGAATCGAGCATTTGTGATTGGTTCCTTGCCCAGCACTCCATTTGGTGCTGTGAGCACTACACCTGCTCAGGCGTGGAGCCAATATAAAGTTGTTTTTTTTTTTTTTTTATTTAAGAGGAAAAAGAGAAAAACACAAAACAAACCAAAGCGGCGTAAGGGTACACGCAATACAGAACTACAAAACAAAACAAAAAACCATAACAGTAAGAAATTACCTGCTAGTAGATTACACACTATTTTCTTGAAAATAGTTCCTCAAATCACAGTATCAAAGAACACAAGGTGGACATTCAAACAGGGAGACTGCAAACAGCTGTGTTCAATGTTCCAAAAACATTGATAAAGTCAGCTATTTAACACCCCCAAACACACTTGCTGTTATATCCGTTAGAGCTCCTTTTCTTTTTTTTTTTTCCCTCTCTTTTTTACAACAAAATTTACACATCTTGGATTTTATTACTCCTTAGTGCTTATTACTTTCTTTGGGGGGGGAAGAATACAGTCAAATATGGCAAAACAAAGCTGTCAGTCAATACCAAGGATAGACGTACACATGGTGTAGAACAGAGTACAAGTTTATCAACAATGGTTATCAACGTTGTCCCTTGTTTCCTTAAAAAGAATTGTCTATCTTATTAGATATTATAAAGTTGGACAAAACAGTAGAGAACAAGACCAATAAAACTTAGGCATTGTAAACATTACAGGACTTCCAAAGAAGACAATAGTCAAACCAGAATGGGTATCTTAGTGAATCTTATTGTCTTCAAAGTAGTTGCCTATGTCTTCAAACTTGATACTATCATATAGAATGGAACAGAGTCTAATCAGTCAAAACAAGATCGTGGGAGTACTACAGGACTTCAAAACAAGTTAATAGGAAATCGAAAAGAGTTACTATTTATATATCCTAATTTTTTTGAATTTTTTCTTTAATTAAGACAAACATAAGAAATGACTAAATAATTTTTTTTGAAACAATAAGGGGGAGATTGAGATAAAACAGGACATAACAATATAACAATAGAGGTCACAGCATGACTGTTTCAATAACCTAGTACTTCACCACCTTATAACCTGACTTAATAGTAGTTACCATAGTGTCTTTTTCCTTGAAATATTTGGGTAAAACTTCATATACTCTAGCTTCAAATATTTTCATATCAAGAAGCCCAGAATAAAGCCTTTCTAATTAATGAGTGAAAACTTTATAAGGCTTCAAGGCCACCTAATGGGGAATCATGATTACCACATATTTTTATATATTTGAATCATTACTTACATTAGGGAAACTATTCGGTATTCACACATGCGAGATTGATTTATTTCACTTATGAGTATGGTCTCAAGCTGTGCCCATTTATTGATAAATATCTCAATGTGATCCTTCTTTATAGCTGAATAATACTCCATTGTATAGAAATACCACAACTTTTTTATCCATTCCTCAGTTGACGGGCACTTGGGTTGTTTCCAAGATCTGGCGATTACAAATTGTGCTGCTATAAACATAGGTGCACATATATCACTGTGGTATGATGCTTTCAGTTCTTCTGGGAATATGCCTAGAAGTGGAATAGCTGGAATAAATGGGATTTCCAGTCCCAACTTTTTGAGAAATCTCCAGACAGATCTCCACAAAGGCTGTACCAGTCTACACTCCCACCAGCAGTGCAGGAGAGTTCCTTTTTCCCCACAGCCTCTCCAGCATTTGTTGTCGGTTTTCTTGATCCTGGCCATTCTTTCAGGAGTGAGATGGTATCTCAGTGTGGTTTTAATTTGCATTTCTCTAATGACCAATGAGGATGATGAGCATTTTTTCATGTATTTATTTGCCATTTGCATTTCTTCATCTGAGAATTGCATATTCATCTCAGATGCCCATTTTTGGATTGGATCTTTGAATTTCGGAGGTCTGAGTTTCTTTAATTCTTTGTATGTTTTAGACAAGAGGCCCTTGTCTGAGAGAGAGTTCACTAAAATCTTTTCCCAGTTTGTGGGTTTTCTTTTCACTATGCTGGAGATTTCTTTTGACATGCAGAAACTTTTTAATAAGAAGTGGTCCCAGTTATTGATTCTGGGAAGTATTTCCCGTGCGGTTTGAGTCCTGTTCATGAATTCTTTACCTACTCCTATGTCTCCAAGGTTTCTACCTATTTTGTCTTCCAATAGATTTAGTGTTTCTGTTTTAATATTCAGATCTTTGACCCATTTACATTTTAATTTAGTACATGGTGATAGACATGGGTCTAGCTTTAGTTTTCGGCAAATGGAGAGCCAGTTTTTCCAGCACCATTTATTAAAGAGACTGTCGTTCTTCCAGTGAACCTGCTTGGCTCCTTTATCAAAAATAAGGTGGTTGAGTGTGTTCGTAGTTGTGGTTGTATCTTCTAATCTATTCCACTGATCTTCAGCTCTGTTTTGATTCCAATACCATGTTGATTTTACTACTGTTGCTTTGTAGTATAACTTCAAGTCAGGGATTGTGATGCCTCCTGCTTTGTCTTTGCTGCTTAGAATTGCCTTTGCGATTCTAGGTCTCTTCTAGTTCCAGATGAAATTTAGGAGTGATTTCTCTAGATCTATAAGGTATGTTGATGGTATTTCTATTGGGATTGCATTGAATCTGTATAACAGTTTTGGGAGAATGGCCATTTTCACAATGTTTGTTCTTCCTATCCATGAGCAAGGGATGTCTTTCCATTTTCTGAGATCATCTTCAATTTCCTTTTTCAGTGTATTATAATTTTCACTGTATAAGTCTTTCACTTCTTTCGTAAGAGTAATTCCTAAGTATTTCATTTTTTTGCTTGCTAATGTGAATAGTCCAGTTTCTCTTATTTCCCTCTCTGTAATTTTGTTGTTCGTGTATAGGAATGCTATTGATTTCTGAGTATTGATTTTGTATCCAGCCACATTACTGAATTTATTTATTGTATCTAAGAGTATTTCAATGGAGTTTAGGGGGTCTTCTATGTAGAGTATCATGTCATCTGCAAACAATGATAATTTAACTTCTTCTTTTCCTATCTTTACCCCTTTTATTTCTCTTTCTTGCCTAATTGCTCTGGCTAGTACTTCCAGTACTATATTAAATAGGAGTGGTGATAAAGGACATCCTTGTCTTGTACCCGATTTTAAAGTAAAGGCTTTCAATTTTTGGCCATTTAGTATGATGCTGGCTGTTGGTTTGTCATAAATGGCCTTTATTATATTGAGGTAAAGACCATTTATTCCAATTTTCTGTAAAGTTCTTATCATGAATAAGTGTTGGACCTTATCGAAGGCTTTTTCTGCATCTATAGAGATGATCATGTGATTCTTATTTTTGGCTTTATTGATATGGTGGATTACATTTATTGATTTGCGTATGTTGAACCATCCTTGCATTCCTGGGATGAATCCCACCTGGTCATGGTGTATAATCTTCTTGATGAATTGCTGGATCCTATTTGCCAATATTTTATTGAGGATTTTTGCATCTGTGTTCATTAGGGAGATCGGTCTATAGTTCTCTTTTATAGTTGGGTCTTTCTCAGGTTTTGGTACTAGAGTAATATTTGCTTCCAGGAATGACTTAGGAAGGATTGCTTCCCTTTCAATTTCATTGAATAGTTTGAGGAGTGTCGGCATTAGGTCTTCTTTATATTTCTTGTAGAATTCTGCAGTGAATCCCTCTGGG